AAAATAACCAAGGTAACCCCCAAAGAAAACTCTGTTGGGCACAGAGGCATGTGAAAGCCGGGTGATGGGCTGCAGCGAGACCCTTGCCAGTGCAGGCGAAGGTCTCAGCTGGATCTGTCTCCCTCTGCATCCCGAGGATTTGCTCCAAGTTCACCTTTATGCAGGTTGTTACTCTGAGGGCTGTATGGCCACATATGGATGCAGATGTCAACCAGGGTTAAAATCCACCCTACGCCTCCCGAGATGCTGAACCAGAGCGATCTGAGCAAGCGTAGATGAGATCCTCAGCACCAAATCAGCCTGCCCAGAGCAAATCGCTCTTAGCACCAACGTACCAACACCAGAAGAGACCCTCTCATCGCCGTGCAAAACACTCCTGTGGCCCGGTCACGCACGGAAGGGCAGGAATGTCCTTGCCCAGCTGCAGGCCACCTCCCTCTCCCAGCTCCTCCGGACCAGGCAGCTCAGCCTGGAGGGTTACGAAGCTCCTCGACTGCTGGCGTGGCCAAACTGGCAGCCCCAAACCACCACGATGATGGGAGGCAGAGCCAAAACGTCTTGAAACTGGGGGTCCCCAAACCCCGCGGTACCGCAGCAGACCTGCAAAAGCCCTCAAGCTTTGGTGGCAATTAGGATGTGGCCTTCCCACAGCTCCCACAGCAGGGAAATGTTAGGAAACCTCAACCCCAGCCAATGAGTAGCCAGAATTTGTTAAATTCAGGCTATGTGCCTTAGAAGCGTGTATTTCCCTGGCCGCAGGACCTCAGGGCAGGGCACGCTGCAATGAAGCAGCTCCTGCAGATGGTTCCAGCTTTGTTTCATAGCTAGAAAAAGCTCTAAGCCATGAATCATGGCACTTCCCGGGCAGGTCCCGCAGCCAGTGTTCCTGCCAGCCTTCCCATCATTGGGGCAGCCCTGAAAGGCTGAAAACACAACCACCCCCTGAGCCCCTCCAGCTCGGCTGTCTGGCTCCATCCCTCAGCCAGAGCGAGAGGAGTTAAACCCGGCGCCTCGCTCTGTAGCAGCAAAAAGAAAAAAAAAAAAAAAAAAAAAAAAAAGAAAAAAAAAAAAAAAAAAAAAGAAAAAAAAAAAAAAAAAAAAAGAAAAAAAAAAAAAAAAAAAAAGAAAAAAAAAAAAAAAAAAAAAGAAAAAAAAAAAAAAAAAAAAAGAAAAAAAAAAAAAAAAAAAAAGAAAAAAAAAAAAAAAAAAAAAGAAAAAAAAAAAAAAAAAAAAAGAAAAAAAAAAAAAAAAAAAAAGAAAAAAAAAAAAAAAAAAAAAGAAAAAAAAAAAAAAAAAAAAAGAAAAAAAAAAAAAAAAAAAAAGAAAAAAAAAAAAAAAAAAAAAGAAAAAAAGAAGAAAAGACAACAACTTGTTTTTGAACACCCTCAAGCTAAAGATTTAGAAAGGCAGCCCCAGCCAAGCCCCGAGCTGGTGCTGCTGGGACACGTCCCGTGCTTGCTGTACACTTACATAAGGCTACGCGCGCGCCTGCAGCTCTCCAAACAACCCGGGCACGGAGCGAAGCTGCTCCCTCCCCGCTCCCTTCCACCCCTTCCCATCCCCGAAGGACTCGACCTGCTCCCGTGCCCTCGCTGGCTCCCGAAAACAGCCGAGCCCGGAGTGTTGGGCTCTACCTTCCCCTCCTGGAGCAAGGGAGCAGGGCAGGAATCACAGCCCGGCACTCACAAGGGAGGGAGAAGTTTGGGGTTTTTTTTTAATTAGAAAACAGAGTAAAAGGAAGTTTTTGCCGTGAACGCTGCCTCCCGTTCAGCCCTCGCCCGCTCAGAGGAGGCCACGGGTGTGCTGGGCCAGGATGAGCGGATCCTGATGGGAAAAAACAGGAGGGGTTTTCGGATGAAGCTTTTTGCAACAGGTGGGGACCTATTTGGAGTCTCTGCACCAGACTACAACAAGCTAAAGGGTTGTTTTGGAGAGCAACGCAATTTTTCCCTGTTTATAGATGCTCAGATTGCTACAACCCCACCTCTCACATGCCACAAGTCTGCAAAAATTCTTGCAAGCTGCCCGATGCTCAAGGGACAAACTAGAGGCGCAGCAGCAGCATTAGCTGACAAACCAACCCCCAAATGCTGCCCTTTATGTTGACACACTACTCCAACCTTTGCCCTTCCCGTTCCCATCTGTGTTTGCAGACGAGGCGAACCTTTCATTGCTGTTGCTCAAACAGACCTTCCCGGCTGCACAATTTGCCCTTGTCTTGACCAAGGGCAGGATCTTGATCGGACAAAGATGCCGAGAGTGGGTTTGGGAGGCTGGTACCAGACATTGGTCTGGGATAGGATGAAGGGTGGATTCTTTCGACTAAACTCAAATGGTCCATGAATGCACCTCATCACTCAAAATCTCCTAGAGGGTAGATAATAAGAGCCATGGGCAAAGACCGAAATTTAGGGCGATGAATGTGGGCACCACCATCCCTCCCGGGAAGAGAGCTGGCTCCCGGCTGACACAGAGCTGGTCCGATGCCGCTGCAGCGTTAAGCACCCGTCGCACCAAATTCAGGCTCCTCTTGGGGCAAAGACCTTCGCAGGCAGGCGGAGCATTTAAGGCAAGTGGAAATCTGTAGAAATCTAGGATTTGAACCATAAATCACCTTATCAACCAGAGACGTTTTACCACCACGAAGTCTCACGCAAGCTGGGTGCAGTCATCGGTGGGCTCTGCCGCGCAGCCACTCGCTCAGGCCAGACGTGGGTTTGAGGCAGCTCTGCTCATCATCTTCTTGGTCTGAAGAAGCTACTTCTTGAATTTAAATCCCTCATAAGCTCTCCTTCGGGGGGCATCAAGGTCAAAAATATGATTTAAAGAATTTCATCCAACTCCAACGTGAATAAAAGCCCCCGAACTCACAAAAGGAGTTACAATGCAACATATTTCTTTCCTTCTGCTGTCAGATGGCTTTGAAGATGCCCCGCTGCCAACGCTCCTGCCTGAAAAGCATCACTTTAATGCCCTGCCCTCGGCTAAGCCTGGCAGATCCCACCGGCGCCGGAGCAAGGGCACCGTGGTTCGGTTTCCCCCAATGCACGGGCGTATCCATGCCCTGCCTTCCGATGCAGCTCCTGCTGCCTCCCGTGGCTTCCTAAACCAAGCCATGGGTCAGCAGAGCTGGTGCAGACGATGCGATATGGGCAACGAAGGGCAACAACAGTCACAGAAAAGCCTAGCGAAGAAAGAGACAAGCGGCTATCTGGGTTTATAGCCATAAAGAGACACGTCACAACACACCAGTTAACTTTCGAGCTTGTACGAGGACAGAAGGACCTTAAGGACCACAAGACCTTAGAATGCATTAGCCAACGCAGATTAAAAACAGGGCCAGAGGGGCATGCAGGATCCTGAGCCTATGTACAAAGGTCTCGCCGCTGCCCGCGGGAGTAGGGGGCCTCCGCTGAAACCGAGTTTCCACAGCAAAGATTTGTCTTGGTGTTACAAACCCCCACACTCACCCGGGGACCGAGGGATGATTCCCATGGGACACGTCCCTCTTTAGGCTTCTCATTTTTTTAATGGCAGGTGAATAAAATGAAAATCCGATGAAGGATGGTTTTGCAGCCAGGATAAATGCAAGCTTTGTTTCTTGCTCTCTCCCAGGTTATTATTCCCAGGAAAAGGTACTCCGGGCCCAGCCGGCACCTCATTTGCACGGCAGGAGGACCTCCCTTGCACTGTGCCACGCTCATTAGCGATGCCTGGAGATGACGAATTTCTACACAAGACCGAGCTCTGCCTTCATTCTGTGTGGTGGGTATCCGTGGGATGTGCTATTTTCTTGACCTCTCTCCCCCTCTCCCCCCCGGGGACGGCACTGACCCGGCACCGACCCCGCACAGCAATGCACGGGCTACGAGTTAAACGCTGTCAGGGCTTTTAAACCCTTCGGAAACACCGGGCTTCCCCTGCCAATACCGACGCGTGGTTATTGCTGCATAATACACAACCAGCCACAAAGAAGAGCGCTGGCATCCTGTGCCCCGAGCCAGCTGCATCCCCGCATCCCTGGCTGCCCCTGTGCCCCGAGCCGGCTGCATCCCCGCATCCCTGGGTGCAGGGAAGCCGCCTCCCGGCACGGAGCAGACCTGTGACACACAGGGCTCTGTCCCGACCCTTGACGCCTCCGAAGTGCCCGTCTCGGCGGCTTGCCCATGCTTTTCCTCCTTGCAGAGCCAGCCCTGTGGGCTGCGCTGGGAGCTGCCCCTCTCTTTTGCACCTCAAAAGCCCAATCTTGAGTCGCTGGGCGAGAAAACTCAGTGGATGAGGGATCTGCTGGTCTTGTCCTTGCGTTTTTAAGGCATATTTTGCAGGAAGGGGGTGCTCCCGCGTGGCTCCGTTCAATAAGGGCGGCAGGACCGGAGCCAGCCGAGCTCCCCATCGTCCCAGCTGCAGCTCCCTGGGTGCGTGGGAGAGCAGTGGAAAAGGAGGAGAGAAGAAGATAAAAGTGGAACTCGCCGACCATTTATTTGGTTTGTGCATCGGACTGAAGCAGCGTTTCCTCCTCCGGATCTGCTGGCTCCAAAACAGCCGCTGGCACTGGACGGGGAAGGGGCTGTCTCGCTTGGATGTGGCACCCGAGTGACACCAGAGGAGAAGGATGGACAGCTGCGAGGCTCAACAAGCCCCATCTGCGGCCTGTTTTAAAAAGGCATTTATTAGCTGTAAACCTCTGTCGTGACGTACAGAAAACTGAGGAGAGGAGCGGGAGATCGATCAAGTTTGAATCCTGGTGAGAGGTCGCCTTAGAAAAAAGGTTAGAGGAAAAAAAAAAAAGAGAAAAGGGCAGCTTTGAAATCAAAACTGCCCCAAAAAAGAGCGTTTCTGCTAGTTAAAAGCCTTTAACTAGAAGAACTTATTGTGTTGGCTTTTTTTTTTTTCTTCCTTTACAAAGGTAGTGCATCTGCGATCATTGAGAATTATGGTCCGTCTAGAAAAGGGCCTGTGCTTGGGCTACGGAGAGGCTGCTGGTGGCAACAGTGAGTGTCGGTGAGCGGAGGCGTTACATGTGTGCTTCGGAGGCAGGACAGCCCGGCAGCAGCTCCCCGTTCACCACCGCCTCCGAGACCAGCATCTTGTCTTTGCCGGAATCCAGCCGCTGCTTCTTCAGCATCCTCTGATGGACCAACGGGACGACGGAGAGCACCAAGCCGCCAATGATGGGGGGGACTCCGGCGAAATAAAAGGCCGCGTCATAATTCCCAAAATAATCATTGAGGTATCCTGAAAGAGAAGAACAATGGTGGTTACAGCCGCGTTAGTCTACAGACCAATTTGTCTCCTTCCTCAAGTGAGAGCTGCAGCTTGCTTCAACCGCCAGATTTGGGGAGGTAGATTTTAAAACAATTTTTTTTCCCGTCGCATTCCTTGGAGTTTTTATGCCCTGGATTAAAGGATGTGCGCAGTCAACATTGCGTAGCAAGGAAGCCAAGAAGGAAAGCCTCAGCCATCCTTCCTATTTAACCAGAACAGGACACAATCGGACACATCCCAAACAATCCCACACGCAAGCTGAGACAGCGTTAAACCACCAAACATTTCAGGTGGCTCTTCCTAGTGCCTTGCCAGCCAGGAGGTAATAGGAAAAGCAAGCAGGGGCTGTTCCTCTGCTGATTGCCTCCATCTGGAAGCCCTGCTTTGCTTACGGATGTTTTATCTACATGGCGATGTCAGCTGAAAAATACACGCTGCCAGTTACAAACAATCCCTTAAAAACCAAATGAGGTTCTGCACTTGTTAGTTCGGCAAGTTCTGACACAGCCAGACATCCTTGGAGAATAACGCGTGGCCATTTATCGGCACTGGAAAATCCCTCTGAGTTTTCTCCTGCGTAGATACTTCCCTGGGGATTACGTCCATGAAATGAGCTGCTTCACCCGGCCCTGTGCCTAGCAAGCCCGATGCCAGGGGTTCTGCAGCAGCACCCTAATCTGAAACGCCCATGTTCCTTCACGAGGGCATTAAACTGAATTTTGCTGCCAAAACCAGAAAGATCAGTAGTGCTTATACAGCTTTAGCTTAGCGATTGCTGATGCAGACGTTCTGCTGTTCAAGGGCCAGCTTTGGCAAAGTGCTCGCTGTTAAGGCTGTTGTTATTACTATGCTTAAACATGTACCCAAGTCTTGGGAAGACAGAGATTCGGGTGTCTCCGTCTCTAACTTTGATTCAGCAATCCAGGGCCTGAACTCACCCATTAGCAATCAGTCCCCAGATATCTAAAAGGACTTCTAGAAAACTAATGTCTGCCAACTTTTAGCTCAGCTTCAAAGAGAAATCAGTTAATACGATCTTGAGTCGCTCTTGCTGCTCCCCCGCTGGTTACCTTTCATCACCCTGGAGAAAGGCCCTGAAATCCTACAGGACGTAGCATGGAGTGATGCTACACCCGTACTTCAACCCCCATGCAACACGTTAAGCCAGAAAATTCAAAACCATAGGTCTGGTCTCACACCAAAATATCACAATGGGTGAAAGCTGCTACAAGCGTCTGCTCCCTCCCAACAGCTGGGTCCAGGTCCGGCACCGCGGCGCTACCAACCTGCTATCGGCGTACCCGCCGTCATGGGCACAGCCATCAGCCCCATGAGGTACCCTATGGCTTGGGACGCCTGCATGGGCCCCACCAGCTCGAAGGCGATGGGGGCCATGATGGTGGTGAAGAAGCCATCGCAAAGGCCGAGGAAGAGGCAGATGACAATGACGCCCTCGAACCCTTGGCACTGGGGGATCATCATGCACAGGATGCCCAACAGCACAAAGGACACAACCTGGGGAGACAGAAGTGGGCATGTCATTGGGGTGCAGGATGAGTGGGGATGGGCAGCAGGAAGTGCCATGAAGATGACACTGCACAGGTCAACGACATTGGCCCCTCCTCTGGACCCAGCAATGCCATCCATCCTCTGTTCTCGTCTCAGAGAGGACCTTAAGAATAACCTTTTAAGAAGCTTTAGGAAGGATTATCTGCTGGATTAGCTGCTAGATTTGAGCATTTGTTTTTCAAAAACCACAAGAAGGTGAGAGGGTGTCCAGCAGTTTGGGAAGTGTTGCGGCCACAGAGTTTGATTGCTGAACAGACACTGAGACCTCAGGTCAAGTGTGCAACTTCTCTGTACACCTTTCTATAATAAATGTTCTTCCCTGACAGCAGACAAGGGTGTTAGGTAATGGTCGGTAAAGGATTTGCAATCTGTGGTTGACAGTTATCAAGCAGAGTGCCGATACTGATGTAGAGATGCTACCCCCTGTCCCACAGTGGTTAGCCAGCAGCTACGCGGAGGGTCGGACACATCGTACCTGCAGGTAAATCTTCTTCAGCCCAGGAATGCAGTCGCCAATGCGGCCTGAAACCAAGCGCCCCAGCCCTGACATGGCTCCGAGGCAAACCGGGAGGATCCAGTCCTTTTTTGTTTCTTGAAATCGCTTCTCCACATATTTTACCTAGGATGGAGGGAAGGATGCAAGGACATGAATCCTCAGTAAGTTAATCCCTCTCATATCCCCAAAAAGGGACAAGACTTCCCGCAGAGGGCTTGTCGCTTTGGGAGTGGTTGTGTGACCCTCATGTCCACACCACCTCTGCCCACCCCAAACCCAACAGCCCTCTCCTCTCCTGCTACTGATGCTTGCCCTCGGGATCTTGTCTCCTCCCATCACTATTCCTGTTTACAGGACATGCCTGCAGCAGTTTCTTAGCTTCGAGGCTTTTGGTGGCTCTGTCCCTACCGCCCATCTCCACCTTCCCACCTCCTCCTCGCTTGCACGGAGGAGCCCCTTCACTCTGGGCAAAGGGCCCTCCCTCCCCTTCCAGTCCCAGCCAAGGCTCTTACCAGGTGCATGTAAGGTACGAGATATCCCAGGACAGCAGTAGCGATCCCAAAGGCCCAAATCCGATAAGTCTTTCTCCGGAAAACCCTCAAATTGAAATACTTGCGCGTCTGGGACCAGCACTGCTGCCGCATGCTCCGGCTACCCAGCTTGTCCTGCCCATCGTGCTGAGAGTCACAAGAAGGCGGCAAGATGGGCCGATAGGTCAGGGACAAGAATATCTGGATGAGCATTAAGGCACTGAGTACTTGGAAAGTATGTGCCAGCCCAATGGCCTTCCCGACCACCTTCAGGAAGAACGGGAGCGGCACAGAGATGAGGCAGCTGCCGCCAGCCACAACGCCGTTGGCCAAGCCAAGACGGCGCTTGAAGTAGTGACCAAGGATGACCAGTGAGGGCTGGAAGGCGAAGGAGCTGCCGCAGCCAAAGAGGATCCCATATGTGAAATAACGAACTTCCAGAGACCTAGTGGGGGAAAAAAGCACATTGGGGTGGTTACATTACGTAGGGGTAAGGAAGTCTTCTCCCTCACGGTCCTGCAAAACCTGGAGTCAAGACCCAAGGTCTCGCATACCACAGGTGCTACGCAGACAGTCTGACCCCGAGAGGCTTATTCCCTAGCCAAAGCAAGGATTAGCCTCATTGCACAGCTGGCACGTTAAATCTTCGGGAAAATGAAGTCTTAGCTGGGGAGTGCTTTCTGCAAAGAGGAGAAGACAGCAGCCAACCTGCCCTCCTTGGGAAGCTGACCTAACTTGCATGGTTTTTAAATTACAGCAATCAAGATTTTCTAAGGTAGGCAGGGTGGGCTATTTTTAGCTAGAAATTCATTGTTTTTTCCACTGGAAGGACTAACTGAACACATTCTGCACCCAGTGTTTGAAAGCAAAAGGCACCAACCCTGCTGGTTATTAGGCACTTCGGAAGGGAACACTGCGTTTCAGCCCCAGCTCCAGGCTGATTGAGTTGTTCTTTAAGCTCCTCTGGGAGCTTCAATTAGACAGTTACCAGATCTTATTTGTACCTTACATTGGTGGCTGCACTTGAGGAGGGAGCAAAGTGGCTGCTCTACAGAACAGGTGGAAAGTCCTGAGAGCCCTTGGAAGGAGACATTTCCCAACTGCCAGCCCAGTTTTCCCAAAAGCAGCAGCTCAGAAAGGAGCCTGAAGTTAGGTGGTGCAAATAACCCGTTGTGTTTCTCTCCAGATGAAGGATTTTTTTCTTCATTCCCATGCAATACACTCAGCTGCAAAAGTCTGCACGAAATACTGCACGGGAGGAGAGTGCGATGGAAACCTTTGGGCAGCTCACCGGACAAGCGATGCTGCACAAACGGGGTCTTTACTCCAACACTCAGAACGACTCGTGAAATACTGAGCGCTGCTCTTGAAGCAAGCGAGAAGACAGCAGCCCGGATCTAATGGAGCAGTTTGAAGTTGAGAAAACGCTTACAAGCACATCATTTCTTCCATTACACACTCGTCTCTTTAGTTAGCCAAGCAGAAAGCAGAACGTGCTTGCTGTACCCAATGGCTCAAAGACAAATGACTGTCCTGAAAGGCAATTTCCAGCTACTCCAGAACGAAGCCACATCAGAAACCCTCTCTGGAGGAGCCAGGCAAGCAGCTGGGCTACGCAGGCTGTCTCCGACCTCCCATGCACCAGCACCTGGGTCACACCAGCTTTGGTAGCGCCGCTAAGCTGACGTGTTGGATAAGTGGAGACAAATGCCGCGGTTCCCATCTGCTCCCCGTTGATGCTAAGACACCCCTGCATGAGCAGGGGCTGCTTTCAGCCATGCTTCTTAGCCAGGATTTCGCACCCCGCTGGCTGGGAATCAGCCAGCTGCTCCTCCGGTGGGAAGGGTGGCATCGTCTCCCTCGGATAACGAGGTCTCCCATGGATAATGACATCTCCTGGGACAAGGAGCTCTCCCTCCAACAGCTGCCTCTCACTTACAGCTCACAACGGGAATGGCCCTGCTTCAGCCCCACTGGCAGAGGTTTGGGGAATTTCTCTCTGCAGGAGAAACCGGGCAGAAATTGCAGAGGGGAAGGAGAGGCAGATGAAAAGGGACTCGAACCCCACCACAGAACACTTAATGGTGCAGAAGAGGAGGGCTGGGAGGGCATTGGGGGGGCATATGAAGACAGCCTTGCTGAACTGGCCACCATCTCCCATTCCTCATGCTACAACTTCCCCTTAAAACTGGAGGGAAGGTGAAGTCTTAACACAACCAGGATTTCTCTCTTCTTGAAGGTGCGTAAGATCTGCGGTGGCTTGAGCTGATTACGAGTGCAGGAGACACCCTGGTGCAAGGCAACAAAGCAAGGAAAACCCTCGCCTCGACCCCATCCAGAAAACTTCAGCCTTCCCCAGAGCTCTGCTTTTCACCGTATTTTGTTTATTTAGTGGTTTTCATACAAAACTCCCAGTATTTTGAGGCTAGGAGGCACTGAGTGTGAGCTGGGTGCTGGGGTCCTGCCACGCAGGCTCGGTGGCTGAATGGGTCTTTGGATCAGCTCGGTGCAGCGCTGGGAACCGCTGCTCCTCTGTTTGGACAAAACAAACTCATTGTTGAGAAACCAGGAGATAAAGGGTTGATGAGCCTTGGTCCAGCCCTGCCTGAGCCCACCAAACCCAGGCTGCATCTCCCTTTACAGCAGCAGCTCACAAACAGCAGCTCCCTTTGCACCGGTGCACGGAGCCCAGCCGGCACTGGGTGGGGTCATCTCCAGCTGCGCCTGGGGGAGCTGGCAAGGGGCCCAAAAAAAAAAAAAATAAAAAAGCTTCTCCATTGTTCTGGGTGAGCAGGAGCCGCTGGCTCCGAATTTCGGGACCGGCCTTCGCCATCCAGATGGAGCATTGCCAAATCCCGCAGCCCCGCTGCTCTTCCTCCGGCCCTGGCTCGGCTGCGCCAAAGGCAGCTTCCCTGGCCGCGGTCCAGCTGCGAAGGGGCTCCTTTCACCCTTAAAAGGCAGCCAAAGGAATGTGAACCGAGAGCGAGAAGGCAGGAAATGGGGATTTCAGCTCTGGAGCTCTCCTGGAAATAATATTCTTCTCTGCCTGTGCTGTTTGATTTTCTTTTAAGCCCGACACAACAAGCCACTGGCAGCGATGTGGTCCCAAGAGCTCCTTTTCTTTGCACAAACATTTTACAATGGCGGGGGGGGGGGGCAGAACACACACTGCGG